CCAACCCTGAGGACACACCTGAGGTTGAAGGTGGACTGCCCTCACTTTCTCCAGAAGGATGCAGCTATCCCCGCTCAAAGCTCGGAAATAAACCCAGAAAATGTGCCTTGCAGAGGATGTTCTGGGAGGAGCTCCTGCTACTCTAATTCTCACGGAGAGTTAAAAAACCAGAACCAGGGATGCGCTCTAAGCTGTGCTGCAGAACCACCAAGGAACTGAAGGCAACAGGTAGATATGACCACCAGGGCAGAGAAGGCTCTCCTTAAGACAAAAAGCAGGTGGGCCTGACCCAGGAGGGCACCCAAACCTGGCAGGTCACTGCAATCTACCATGGCCTAACCTAGAAAATGAACTCCCCAGGAAGGATGGAGCCAGTGAAGGGGCTGAAAGTGTTGAAACCCACAAATAACACACTGATCTCAATTTGATCAATGATCTGTCTGTCCATCCTTGAAAGCCCCTCATTGTTAGAAGTGTTCAAGAGCTGAATACATTTCTTGTCTAACAAAATGAACAAAATCCCAAAATAAAAACTGTTTCATCCCCTCTCCAACTTTTCATCCTGGACTGTGGGGCCAAGACCCTTAGAGGTAATAAATGATCAGAAAGAGGTGACAGACCCAGTGATACTCATGCATTTCTTCCTCTCCATCACATGAAGTGTCCTGGCCTCACCGGAGGACAGAGGTGGAGAAAATAGACTATGACAAGATCACTGAGAGCAGACCAGGGTCTCAGGAGATGATCTGGAGAATTAACATGTCCCAGTGGAACACGCTGCCCCCATCAAATGCCAGACCTGCCCCCCCACTAGCTGTGTGACGTTAGGCGAGTCATGTAACCTTTCTGTTCCTCAGTTTCCTCACCCATTGCAAATAGAGAAGATAATAATACCTTCCTCACAGGTTGCTGTGAAAATAAGGAAAGATACAAGTATTCGTGGTTCTTATTACTGTTATAGAAGGCGGTCCTAGGGCTTTGCACTACATTGATTCACATTCTCACTTCCGGAAGGATATAAGCAAATGTTCTAAGAGAAACCATTAGCATTTAAGTTTCACAGACAGTCTTCATGAATTGGAGCTAGACCTGGTTAGTCTGTGACAACTATTCCCCCCAACCAGAACGGAGACTTAGCTTCCTCATCCAACTGGAATATTTCCTCCAAGTAAATTACATTTGCTTTCCTGTTCCCTTTTGTCTACTCCTTGTCCTGTTATTCATTCCTCTTTCCATGTGTCTTCTCAGTATTTGGCTCCCAGGAACCAGTAGAATAATACAAACCCGTCCCTTTCTCCTCTGTCCCAAACACCTGGCCTGAGGCTGCCCCAGTTTCGGCCCCAGAAGCCCAGCATGGGAAATAGAAGGCCTCCTCTAATAAGCAGGTTTGAGCAGACAGATTCTTCTCTGTGGCCGATTATTTTCCATGGCCCTTGGCCATGTGACCTCGGACCATGATCTGTCAGTTCTCATAAATTAACCAGGAGTGGGCTGAGTCACACACAGAGAGGAAACCTCTGGGGGAAATGGCGGGAGCTGTGGGAGGAAGGGGAGCGAGCTGGGGTCCCGAAGGCCATGGGAGCCTCACCCCTGCGCTCCCCCACCTCCGAGCAGCTTTGCCATTACACGGAAGCAAAAAGGAGGAGGCAGCGGCCTCAGGAGGAAGGCCGGGCTGTAGGCAGGCTGCTCTTCTGAATAAAATTTGGGGACTCAGCCCAAGGGGCTAACTGTCCCCAAGACCTCCAACCTGGAAAGACTTCCTTCCTCAGCCACTCCTGGAGCCCTTGGTTGTTGATACACAAGTCCCTGTTCTTAGGAGGCCCAGTACATCATAACAAGATAAATTAGAGAAAAGAACACACAGACCCATGCTGCCCCACACCCATGCTGGCTCTGACGTCCCGTGGGAGGTCAGGTGTGGAATATTGAAGAGAACGTTGCAGTAAGCCACAGACACCCTTGACACCGTGCTGGTGGTGAAGACCTTCTGGGGACACCATGTGAAGTGTTTATGTGATGCCAAACATGCCCTGGAAATGAGGTGCCAACGAAATCTGCATATTCTCCTATATCCTAAAAGTGGGTGCTACATAAACAAACCCCTGAGCTCCTCTGTCTAATTTTCTTTTACTCCGAATAATCTTTGGATTTCAAAGTTGTGTGTCTCCATAGCTTTGGGTTGCGAGTTACCTCGAGTTCTCTGAGAAGTCCATGCATTTTTAGGGAGGTTACTCCTGAGTAAAATACGCAAACATAAACCAATCCCTTAACTGTGTCCATGTTTGAATCACTTTCCAGGCACTCACTTGGTCAAGTCCTCGGGAGCAGTGTGTGTGCAAGTGTGTAGTCCATGAATGCAGCACGTACATTTCCTTGTGCACACACAAAACATGGGGCCGAGCGCACTGTTTTAAGAGTCTGAACTCTGTCTTTCAACAAAGTTTAGCTGCTTTCCTCTTGCAAATGCATTTAATTTTATCTGGAAACTTTTTGACGTTAGAAATAGAACAACTGTAGTTTCTCATTATGTTTGCTGCCAGAACCCATGCTTGGTTGCTCAACTAAAGACCTTATATTGCTAATTACTACCACATGCCCATATCCCCAGCGCAAGAAAACTTATTGATTCTGACAGCCCATTCTCTCAACGCTGAATTCCAAATGAAAACTCAAATTTTGGCCAAACATAACATTTCATCAATCTTGTTCTACTGACTGGAAAAACAACATCAAACAAAGGGTGCTAATGGCCCTTTATTACCACTCCTTTCCCAAGCTTATATTTTCTGATGAAAGATCTAAGTGACCAAAGGGCTTCTTTAAACTACTTAGTAATTAGCTTTTGAACCAGGAAACAATGCGCAAAGTAAAGTGAACAGTCCCAGTGTTGATGACAGACCTGCTCTTTGTCCGCCGGGCTGGGGAACACTGGAGACCCAGAGAGAACATTAAAAGCAAAGTGCTCATTTTCATAAAGGGCATAGGAAAAAGAGAGGAGGGGGAGACAGGCTAACAGCAGTGATAAAAGATTATGGCGATGGAGGCAGAACAAAGGCTACGGGGAGTCTGTGATCTGAAGTCGTCACCACGCAGGGGTCTGAGTGGAAATGCCACTTGTTGCCACGACAACAAATGACCCATCTGACCAGGCCGGTGAGCGAGCACTGGTCTGAGCGCCTGGTCTGGGTCACTTGTCAACCAAAGCTGCCTGCCAGGCCCACCCACATTGGACTTGGGGAGCTATATTGGGGGGGGGGGGAGGGTGAAATTTACCTGGAGTGAGAGTCCAGAAGTAAGTTCAACAAAGACTTTGGGGCAGTTGATTTTATTGACCCCTTTGGGGGTGGCGGTTGGAAAAGCTGGCTGGGACAGTGGGTGGGGAGGCTACAGAGAGATGGGGCCTTGGAATGCGTTCTGTTTTATGGCAACCTGTGCACACCTTCGAGGCAAAACGAGAAGAGAAGCTGTTTTCCTCTTGGCGTGGGACAAACGACCAGTGGGAATCTTTAGAGGTATTTGGCCTTTTGGATCCAACCAGTGGCCCAGAAACCAGAACAGCTTGGTTCTCATCTCATCCAGGGCAGTTACAATAATAGGAAGGGGAGGGTCCCATCAGCGGGAAGGCGCAGCAATGTGCTGCCTCCACCGAAACGGCGCCAACTGGCTTCCTCTCCCCCACTGTCCTCTGTTCCTCAGCAAGGGAACGGGTGTCCTGTGGGTCGTTCAAGAAAATGAGCCCTCTCCCCACCTCCTCCTTTTCTGGAGGGAGGACCGGACACCTGAGCTCAGGATGGGCCGGAGTCACCGCAGGAGAGGGACTGGCTCCCGCACATGGCAGCCGGGCCAGGAGGAGCGATGATGGAAGGGGTGCCGTGCCAACGGGGCAATTTTCTCTTAAAAAACAAAACAGGCTTTTTCAGAGCTGACCTGAACAAGGATTAAAAAAAAGAGCAGAAAACAAAACTCGTTCGGATGCAGGAGCTTCTACAACAGGGAAGGGGCAAGAGTGAGGAAAATATTCTGCATCCAGGGCTGGGCATGCACAGAGGTACATATTTGCTGAGCTGCACAATAAAGAAGTGTGCGTCTTACCCTAGAGAAGTTAAAATAAGAACAAAAACTCAAAAACAAAACCTCAGAAACAAAGCTGTGTGCCCAAGAAAAAATATTTAAATAGTGAAGAAAGGTTGCTGCCAGCCCGACATTCTCCGTGAGAGACGGTGGCCAGCAGGGGACAGGGTGGCGAGGTCCCGCCCTGCGCTCCGGAGAAAAGCCTCTGGTTGACGGTGGCCCCGCACCCTGATACTGACACTGATAAAGGGATCCGAGCACAAATCGAAAGAGACCCCATGTGGAAAGCATCTGTGCCTGGGAAGCCAAACAAAAGGCTCATCAGCCACAGCACACAGTGCCCTGACATGCCGTGAACATATCTGTTGCCCAAAAGAAATTTCAGCCGAGTAACGGACCCCCCTGAGGATGAGCCCCGTGTCTCTGGCTAAACAGAACTGGTTGCCTGGTGGCCACACACCTTACGGTAGGCAAGGTGACCTTGATCTTGTCCTCCCTAAGAGTTCCTAGCTGGAGTATGCTCTCATGTTCTTGCTGCAAAAAACCCCCCACAGGACAGCATCACCTTAGTGTGAGGGACCAGAGTGTAAGCACCAAGCCAGCTGGCCTAGAGAATGAATGATCTTGGTTCACTTGTTAGGGATCGGGACAGAAAACATGGGCCCAGTTACAGGTGGACCCCTTCCAGGATAAATCCATGTCTCTTGGGAAAAAGTGCAGGGAAGAAAGTTGTGAATAAGAACGGAGCTAGGTGGTCAGTCCCAGTGTGACAACCTGGGTGACCTCTGATGTCGCACCCCACACAGAAGGTGGCCCTTCCCTCACAGAGGCACCCGGGTGGGGTAGGAGAGGGGCAGGATTCAGGGGCCACCGCCATGGGGACTCTCAGAAGTCACTCAACCACATCTTATCTGATGCAACTGACTTACTTTCTGCCTCCATGTTTGTTAAAAGTCCCGCCGAATTTATTCCGATTCAGGATGAGAGCAGCAATTTCGGGCACGTAGCGGGCAAACATTGCCTACATGCATGAAACAAAGAAACAAGAGCCAAAAAAAAAATGGCATGCAGAGAGGATACTACCGCAGCGGAGGCAGCAAAACCTCTGGGCATACTTACTTTCTTCCACTAACCGCACTATAGGAGCCCCCGTATTTCTTGCGGTTTCCTATTAACTCTATGATTTCAGGGACGTAGCTGGCAAACATGGCCTGAGGAAAAGATAGGAGACAGAAGAGAGACTAAAAAGACAGGCCAAAGAAAGGGGGTAACCTTTTCAGAAAGGGGGACACTAAGATCTGAAAACACAAAAGGGTTAGACCTGTGGAGGTATATACTGATATTTTGGGTTATTTCTTAAAAGGCACAAAAAGGGCAAGCTCCTGAAAATACACAGGACAAAACAAACATTAGGCAACCCAGACAAATTAAAAAAAAAAAAATCACAGTTGAGAAAAATACAAAGGAGACAGGAATAAATAAATTGACATCTAGCTCTTCTTCCTGAAGAGAAATTAAGTAAAGGGGGCGCGAGCTGGGGAAGCTACACACTCACAGGCTCACACCCGCAAACGACTGCGAGAGGAGACCTTTCTCTCCAGTTAAAATTCTAAGGGGAGTCGATGCCTTTCTGAGTGACTGAAGACAACGAATACTAAAGGAAGATTAAAAAATATGAATGTTTCCATTTAACAGCTATCACTAAAACACACACAAGACAAATTTAGGGAATGACACGGGAGGAAAGGACAGCAAGGGGAAACACAAATCTGCCATGTTTTGTCCAGCAAACACTGTGCTTGGGGCCAGCTCCGCGTCTCCCTGTCTGCAGGGGCCTTGCAGGTGCTGTGAGGACACGCACATGTACATTCATATACATTTTAAAATGCATATGTCATATGCATACAAACAGACAGATGTGTATGCATCATGTAAATGTGTGTGCTGTGTACATGTGTGAAAGCTGTGTGTGAAGCAGGGTTTTAATCACTTACCTCATACAAAGTAAAAATCTAAACTTAAAGTGAGCTGCTTTGAAAGACAAAATGCAGCCACCGCCTATGGGTCGCCAGAAGTGCCCCTTGAAACTGACATCACCACTGACTGTGATGATCTGCATGGACCAGAAAAGCAAACAGGAAAACCCTCTGACTTACAAAGAAGGAGGAAAAATATCCCAGGTGTCGCACGTAATAGAGTTAGTTGGCCATTTATAAAACCAACGCACAACTCACAGGGTGACGTCCACCCGGGCAGCACCCTACTCTTTAGGGCAGGCCCCAGCCACAGTGTTTGTTGGAGGTTTGGGGAGGACCCTAAAGGGGTGGGGGAGCTCTTGAAACCGCAAACTGTCTTTAGAGTATCGACAGCATCTACCAGGGCCAGGTGACAGCAACTGTCCTTGCAGAATGTCAGATGCTGAATTACATTACAAAGGGACAGACACTCTCACTTAATAAGTGAGCATCACTTTCTTAAGACAATTAGGTTTGCTCCCGGCTAAATGGCTGACCCTGACAAGGGCAACACGCTCGGGTGTCTGGGAAACAAATGTAATACACCAAAGAAATATGCAGAGAAGTCACCCTCACGCTGGGACTCAGCCTGATGGTAACACTAAGGCAGCCACTTGCTTCTAATGCAGAAACACAGCATCAAAATACAAAGCTTTAAGGAAATGGATAACAGGAAATATTAATAACCATAAAAATCAACACCATAATAAAGAGTTTTTACCAATCCCCCGAGGATGAAGAAGACCATGAAGAGGCGTCCAAGTGTGGTTTTTGCATAAACATCCCCATAGCCAACCGTGGACATGGTAACCATGAGTAAATAGACACATTCCCAGTATGTAAGAGCCTGGTTGTTTTGGAAATTTTCCCATGGGTCCCCTGAATTCTCCACCTAGAACAAGGGGACAGGGGAGAAAAAGGAAAACGTTATGCTGTACACACATGACGAACCAGGAACACGAAAGCTCCAGCAGGACGATTCTGGAGGCGCAGCCCCCTCCACACAAGGTGTGTTCTGCCCTCGGCCAACTTCTGTAAGTGACGGCTGAGCAGGGACCAGAGAAGCAGAATGGTAAGAACACAGCCATGCCTTCCTTACCGACTGGGGCTAAGAGGGGGAGGAACAGAAACCGATATCCCTAGTCTACCTTCCTTCTCATTGTTAAAGATTTGAAGTCAGCTGAATTTTCGGGCATCGCTCTGGCCGCATTTTACGGCGTTCCCATCAAGGGAAAAGCCAGAGAGCCCTGGCCTGACCTCTTCTCAGTGAGCTCCTGCTCAGCCCCAGAGGGCCCAACTCACACGCTCCCAGAGAAATTCTAGACCCTCCCACAGGGGGCCTCCTCCTTTCATTATTTGGCCAGGGGCCTTGCTCCTCCAGATCTTATGTCCAAATCCCAAACAGCATCTCTTGGAGTCTGCCTCTGATCTCTCTGCTTTGCAGAATGTCAGCGAAGGCTCTGCCCTGCAAACTGCAGGAAGTTCCCCGGGAGCACAGAAAGTGAGCTCATGAGAACAATTTGCTTTTGCACAACACTCTAGACCCAAGGCTAGCAAGCTTTTTCTGTAGAGGGCCAGATAGCAAAGGTTTTCCACTTTGCAGGCTATGCAATGTCTGATCTCTGTAGGAACGACTCAACTCTGCACTTGTAGGCAAGATCAGCCAGAGGCGACACCGAAACTGAGGAAGCATGGTCACATTTGGAGACCTGTGGCCCCAGGTCTCTGCTTTAAATTTAACAAAGCACTTTCAGTCCTTTTATCAAATTTGATCTGCCAACAAAACAGTGAGGGAGGAGAGAGAGGTACTTTAGATTCCCTCAGGAGACTGGGAGAGATGGGGCTGGGTCTCTGTGACCAGTGCCTGTGACCTGTCAGCAAGGCCGATGCGGGGGCAGGCCCCCAGACCTCCAACTCAGCCGCCACGGAAGGCTGCCACAAGCTGACCTCTTCCACACATCCACACCTGTCCTCAACATACCATTTCTATGGAGGTTTCCCGGTGAACCAGAAAGTACTTGATGTACTAGAAAAGTGAGGTCACTGGCCTACTGAAAATGACGAACCACCATATATATATCTGTGATGTAGGCAGCTGGCAGAATTAGGGTGATTATCTAAGGTCCATTTCAGCCAGGAATCCCATCAGCATAAAGAGGTGGGTGGGGAACCCATCAGGTCTAGTGACTGAATGAGGGCCTGGGCTTCCAATCAGGTTGAGCTCCACTGGATGAAAATGATGTAAATCCAAACAGTGGGTGGCTAAATGCACGCTTCCACCCTTCTGCAGAGAGCCCATCGGGGAAGGGCACCTTTACTCAAAGCTTCAGAGTCACGTGAGGTTCTTTCCAGGTGTGACAGTTTGTATTTGTATCAAACAGGCTCCCCACAATAGCTGTGTTCCCTAAAAGCAGGAGAAAAAGTCTGCCGGGAAGAGGTGAGGACAGCTTGACTTCATAATATAAGCCTTTCAAAGAGTCATTAATTTAAATGAATTAACATTTTTGAGATACGAAATAACTTGACAAGTCATCAGGCAAGAGAATCAAGGTGGTTCTTTGGAAGGGGGAAGTAAAAAAGAAGTCCAGAGATCTGAATTTGTTGTTTAGAAGAGATGTGGGTCAAACTTCCAACTTTGCCCGCAAGACGTTTTTGTGCAGTTGCTGAGGAAGCATTGCCATCTTGTGGCTCGTTGAGGGTATTGCACACAGAATGAAAAAAAACGTACCAAAGCTTCAGAGCACTACTGGGGAGCTGAAAAACGCAGAATAGCAGTGAGAACATTACTAACCATTTGGAACCAGTTTGAGGTAAAGGGTTGGAAACCCTGACAATGGTACAGCTGCTGTTTCTTTTCCTACGTTCTACAGCTGGGCTTAAGTTTCTCACCAGTAAGAAAAAGTTCAGGTGCTAAAATGACTCAGCCTCGCTCCAGGAAAGCCAGAGCTAAAGCATCTTCAAGGACACTTACCAAGTGGATGAACCCAGCTGCTGTCAGCCACGTGCTGATAAATATGGAGAGCAGATTCACCAGCTTGATGGAATTACTGCACAAAAGAGACAACAAGCAAAATCCCCAAGTTACAAAAGAAGCCCCTGTCTGGGGGGCTCCTGAGCCACCTGCCAGAGTGACAGGAAGCTCACCTCTGACACCCCAGTGCATCTCTGACTGTGAAGGGCACCCAACCCCCCAGAAGGGGCGGAAGTCAGCCCAGCCAGGGCACATGGGAAGGTGACATAATGGCTACTTAAACAGTCCCTAAATTCACGTCCCCAGTTGTGTTCAAGTTTTTCTGAAATTTAACTTTATTTTGAAAGTCTTTAAATCTACAGAAATAATCAAAGAACAGTGTGATGAACTCTTGTATGCCCTTCACCAAGATTGACCAATCAACAGTTTATCACCTCGTTGGCTTTATCTCTACTCTTTTTCTTTCTTTCTACTTATGTATGTATCTATTTGTTGGTTGAACCATTCACAACAGACTGCAGATACCATGACACACACCCCTAAATGCTTCAGCATTCAGCACTGCAGAAGGACACTGCAACACAGTCACAGCACAATTGCCGTGCCTCAGGGAGCTGACCGGAAGTCAGCAACGCCCTGAGCATGCACTCCATATTCAAATTTCTCCAGTTGCCCACAAATTATGTTTACTGACGTTTTCATTTTCTTCGCCCTGATCCAGGAGCTGACCCACGCTCATGCACGAGTTCGGTTATAACGTTGCTGTAATCCAGGGGTCAGAAACCCATCTGTAAAGGGCCCGTCAGTGAACATGTGAGGTGCTGTGGGCCATGGAGTCCCTGTCACGACTCCTCAGAGCTGCCACTGCAGGATGAAACAGCCTCACACGACATGTAAAGGAATGGATGTGGCTGTGCACCAGTAAGACTTTATTTACGAAGTGGGCAGTGGGTGGCCATGGGCTTTGTAGTTTGCCAATCCCTGCTTAATTCTCCTTCAACCTACAATCTACCCCCTTTGGTTTGTTTTTAATATTTAATTTTCTGTGCACCCAGATCAGCTGTCTTGTAGAATGTCCCATATTGTGGATTTGTCTGATTGGTTCCCCATGATTTAGTCATATTTAAGTTCTCTTAAGAATATCTGCTGGTTTCACAGTAAGTATGGCATCTCAGGAAATCCCACCTCAGTCACACCGGGGTAGTCACTTGGTTACCATGGAAATGCCAGACCTCCCGAAAGGCACCCATATCTCTTCGGTAATTCATCTACCTGCCTTCTATGTGGTGAGACTCTAAGACCATAAGAAAATCCTGTTTCCCAGAAACCTCAGACCTAATCATTTCAGCACCACCAGTATTCTTTGAGAGCATCGGCTGGAACTCCCTAAATTTTAAGTTCCCTGGAAGAAGAGGCCTTGGCTGTCCAGATCTTGGAAGCAGTGTGTCCCTGGTGCACAGTAGGGCTTCTGTGAGTATGTGCTGAGTGCACTGGTCCCTTCCTCTGCAATCTCCCCACTAAGCTTCCCCTTGCTCGCTCCCAGGGGGGCAGAGTTCCTCCAACGCTGTTGTCGGCGGGTCACTTCCCTGTCCAAAGGCTCCCTGTGCAGTCAAATGTTACGTCCAAACTCTCCTTCCATTTCCAACACTGTCTGAAGTTTGGCTCTCCTCCTGCTCTTCTTCTACATAAACTCTTGGAATGCTCATCACAGCCCAACCTCCTTACCACGTCTGTGTTTACTACCCAGGGGGGAAGCGCTTCCCATCTATCCAAGTTTTTTGTTCTCTTCAAAGCCTGGTCCAAGCCACAACCCCCTCTGCAACAGAAGGAGACTCCTCCTCCTGGCCCATACCTCCAACTACTCACTGGTAATTGATCCCACTGCCTTAAGACATCTTTTGTAATGTCACTTCAGATGGCTACTTGACTCCTATACCTAACTGCATCTGCAGAGAACAACTCTATTTTCTCTTCCAGTCTCCCCGTGGTGATCCAACACCTCCCACAGGGGTGGTTCAGCCCATCATTCTCCACGCATTGGTCTCTGCCTTCTCCTGCCTCTCTCTCAAGGGGAACCAATGATTTTAATTCTAAGATTTTAAGATCATAGAAATAGTAATGGCTAACATTTTTGTTATGCGACCCATCATTCTAAGTGCTTCACATAATATTAACTCATCTACTCTCCCTAGTGATTCTAGGAGGTCATCCAGAAGTTAAGAAGCTGACCCGGGTTCACAGAGTAAGCAGCAGAGTTGGAATCTGAGCCCAGGCAGGTTGGCCCCAGGGCCTGCCCTCCTGGACACCACACTACAGAACAGCGGTCACGGACAGGAGATCATCAGAAAGTCTTCCCTGATTGCTAAACAAAGCTATGCCTTCCTGACACTCTGTGCACAGCATATGAGAAAGGGTCAGAGAGTCCTGCCACCCCGAGGAGGAGAGAGACATTATTGACATATGGATGAACCCCTAGAACTGCCACAGAAAAGGATGGAAAGGAAAAATTCTGATGACTACATCTCTGCTGGAACCACCGCGGGAAGGAGGGCAGTGTGAGGTGGCAGTCCAGGGGGTAGCCAGGGTTAAAGGGGCAGCCCCCAGTGGAGGGCGGGGTCAGTGGTGCCAGGACAGGCATGATTGCCAGAGCCCAGCTTTCCCCTTCCTTTGGTCTCTTTCCTCTTACACAACTGAGCAGAGGAACCCATGGTCTTGGCTTTCTAGAGTTGGTTCTGACGGTTCAGGAAAGCATAAGCAGATAGTCCCACTTTGGGGGTAAGATGAATCCTTTGGAATGTGTGCAACGACTTCCTTATGGTTCAAAAACAGACGAGAAAGCCAACAAAGAAGTCCACTCTGTCTTTGTTGGTCATTTCTAGAGTGCCAGATTACAACAGTGGCCTACAATAATGGCCAACGTGTACAGAACCTTTGTTATGTGCTAGGCACTGTGTTGAGTTCTTCATTTTCTCTGTAGTGTCCCACTGACCCTTTGATACAGGCACCATTGTTGTTCCCACGAACCACAGAAGGAAGCTGAGGCTCAGTGAGCTTCAGCAGCAGTTTGTCTGAAGAAACGTGGTTAGTAAGTGCTGGGTCAGTATTCAGACCTGAAGCTGACTGTCTGACCCGAAGCTTGCCGACCTCAATAACCTGGACAGGCAGCACAAAGAAGCCGAGCGGACCTCTGTTTCCATGACACTTTGCTTTGCCCTACATCTCTTCTTCTGTGGCAGTCCTGTGGATGGTTAGGTAGACCTAGCAAAGGCCCTACCTGTCCCTCCACCTGAGTGGCCCAAGCCAGGCTGACCAATGGAGGGGACTCCTAGCTCTAAAGAGATATGAGGTAGACGAGTAGAGGCGTTTTTCAGGAAATAAAGGGGAGAGAATCATTTTCCTTCTGAGATTTGGGTTTAAAAAACGTAAGCCCGGAGCTCTAGAAGACCACTGCCACTGTCTGAGAGGGAAGTCCAAAGGAGGCGGAGAGAGGGGCAGGACCCTGATAAAGCAACCTGAACCCCTCAGTCAGACAGGCCCAGTTCCCTCTTGGACTCACAGTCATCACAAGGCTAGTTCAAGGTGGGCTCTGTCGCTGGCAATTAAAAGCCTTCTGTGTACAACAGAAGGGGGCAATATCCAAAACGTTCTCGGAGGACCCCGAATTGATCAGATCTGTAAAGTAGGCCTGAGGAAAGAGGGCGGATCCTGTACCACTCACGAGTCTGCTCGCCAGTTAGTTCTGTGGCCTGGAAGTTCTGGTGTGAATCTATCACAGATCTGCCAAATCCTGGCCTCTGTTGTTTTTCCCAGACTCTGACGACTATGGGTCATGCCTCCCCTCTAAGTAGTTGCTATAGCTGTGAATGAAGATCACCAGCTGGCCATTACAATGTTTAAAATCTCCCACCTAAGCCTCTTCTTCGAGCTGAGAGATCCGTCACTCCCTTGCCTCTCTGTTCCCCAGAGCAGCCAGCCAGCCCCGGAGCCTCACTCGTGGGCCCTGCAGAGTCCTCTCCCTCCGGAAGAACAGTCCCTCAGCCCCGCCCCAGACACCTACAGAGTGGAAAGGAGGCAAACAGACCTAAGGCATCTACTGGACAATCATGTCAAGTGAAGGGACCCTGGCACTCACGGAGCTGAGCACTGCTGCAGCTGGGTCCCCCCGCAACCTGTCCCCGGCCAGTTTCTCCAAGGGAAGCCAAGACAGCGGAGAACCCTCCCCTGCCTCTGCCTCTGCCTCTGCCTCCCAGGCCCTCTCGGGTCACTCTGACAGCGGAGACCAAGAAGCAGATGAGGCAAAGGGAGAGATCGCAGGGAAGCACATATTATTCATTTTCTCAGAGGATAATTAAGTACCAAGTTGATTCACTTACAGACTCCCAGATCCTTAGGGCCTGAACAAAGCAGTGTCCCACCAATAACCATGTGGAACCTCTTGAGATATTAAAGCTATTGGAGTCTCTCAGCTTCCTGGTGCTTTGGGGAAAAAATGACCTAAATGTGGTGATTATTAATCTTTAAATGATTAGTCACAGTAATATTAATAGTGCTTAAGGGAGCTCTTGCTGTGTGTGGAACATTTAATCATTGTTGCTGAAAGAGGCCACATTCAGCACTGAAATCTGATTATGTTTATGGTGTCAGCATCATTACAGATTCCTGGTCTCCGGCATTTGCTTTCCAAATTGAACTCTACAACCAGGCAATCATCTACAAGCTCTGTGCAAAAGATACAAGGTTAACTCTTGGTGGGTGTTCTTCATACTCTGTAATCGGGGTCTCACCAGGTAGCCCAGGGCTCCTTGGGAGGCGGGGCTGTGTGCTCTGCATGGCAAAAGAGGCCACTGGTGAGTCACAGACTTCACAGCCAAGCCCAGAGGTTAGAGTGATTCTAGACCACTTTCCATGCCTTGAGGGAAGGATGGATGGTGACCTTATTATGACAACCTAACTCATCTAAAGAAAATCTTTTTCTGGGCCCTGGTTGGTATGGCTCAGTGGATTGAGTGCCAGCCTATAAACCAAAGGGTCACCACCGGTTTGACCCCCCCAGTCAGGGCACATGCCTGGTTTGTG